GACGGGCCGCAGCAGCTTCTAGGTCCTCTTCATCACGGCCTCGTCTGTGACGCGCGGCATCCTCCTGACGACGGGCCGCAGCAGCTATCATGTTCTCTTCAGTACGGCGTCGTTTTTGAAGTTCAGCATTCGCCTGACGGCGTGCCGCAGCAGTCCCTGGGTCCTCTTCAGATCTTTTGTGCTTTTGGCGTGCAGCGTCCTTCAACCTTCGAGTGTCGGCAACCTCAGAAGACTCGTGTCGTCTTTGTTCTGCTTTACGGTTGGCATCTGCTTTATTGCGTTGTTGCGCACTTTTCTTTTTAACTTTCGGCATTCTGTCAAACATTTGAAAAGCGTATCGGTAAAATTCAAACAAACGATTTTGCGTTCTAGCTTTTTTAGACCTCTTATTTTTGTCAAATTAAAAAAATCTTTGGGGCTCTTTAATAGATTATTCTCGTGAGGCAGGGAGAACACATAGAAACTTAAGATGTGGGAAGTTTAATTTAAAATTACCTTGCATAGCACCTTGTATTACTTTTGTGACATAATTCAATGTTTTAAACAGTAATGTTGGTACTCATATTAAGGTCGTTTATTCGATGAAAAATGGAAGCCTCATAGTTAATGAATTTAAGGTAGGACCCTAGTAAAAAAGTGAAAATCGGTCCAGGGGCTCGTAGACCAAAAACTCGACCTTGAAGTTGTAGAACAGAGCTCTCTGATAAAAACAAGATGTGAACGAAAATTTTCCGTCAGAATTTGAGACACCTGGAACTTTTCCCGTACGGGTCTCAGGCCTCTACGGAAAAAGTTCCAGGTGTCTCAAATTTTGACGGAAAAATTTCGTTCATATGTTGTTTTCATCAGAGAGCTCTGTTCTACAACTTCAAGGTCGAGTTTTTGGTCTACGAACCCCTAGGCCGTTTTTAACCTTACTAATGCGACGTTTATGCAATTTTCGGTATTTTTTCACTAGGGTCCTACCTTAAGATGGTTCAACGTCATGATAGTGAAGTAGACTAATTTAATTTAGAATAAAAATTTAAGTTCTAATTTCGCCGCTGATAAATGAAGTGTGCAACTGTTTAACAGACGAATGTGAAATACTTGCAACTGTTCAATACAGTACTAGTATACTTGCAAGTTTTCCACTCGGTATTTGTGCACTTGTAAGTGTACAACTCCTATGTTGAACACTTCCAGTACAGCAAGCATTCGATTTACAGAAGAGTGGCAAAGTTCCAACAGGGGGTAAAAACGAGGCGCTCCGGCCGTCCACCATGCGCGCCCCTATGCCGCGCGCGAGCCGATCCGAGCACTCGCCTGTTTCTTCTCACTTTTTAACATGGTTTGATACGTGGGCCACACGCAAGAGGGGTATCAGTCGATAGAAGAAAGTTCAAACTTTACCGAGTTACCATTAAAATCCACCTCCAACCTCATTCCGTCGAGAAAATATGATTTTAGTGAACTTACAGACCACCCAAAGAGCCCACCTGCGCGCAAACGAAACAAATTTCCACGAAATTGCCGCAACTTCATTTTAAAACGAGTGTAACCCTAGAAAGATTTAAAAAAACGAGCTTTTAACTGGGATAGGTCCCCTTCTCGTCAGATCGAAATACACCCTAGATTTTAAAAATATACGAAGATTTGATACCGGCAGCGCAATTTATTGGATATTACGGTGGACCATAACCCTAAAATATATTTGCAAGTTCTCGTTTTTATTGTGACTAAACTTAGTTCCATTTTTTAATTTATCTAAGCTTAGTTCTGATGTACCCGGGAGGGAAGATCTCCATTTCTAACTTCATGCAAGAACGATATTTAAACTGCAATAGAACGATAGAAAACTGTGGTTTATCCCTTGAAGAAGTACCAGTTTTTTCGAACATCTACAGTTGTTTTTTATAGATTAACTACAGTTTACTTTAAGTTTCCGCACCCCAGTTCAACTTCTACAGTTTTAACTGACAGCGAAGTACAGATCCTTCCACCCGGGTAAGATTGATCCTCTTTATCTTCAAACGATTAGGAAATTTACAAGAAGAAAAGAAAAAGTTCTGTTTTCTGACACCGACAACGTTTCGGAATATCGTACTTCCGAAACTCGGACTAAAGTTTCTTGAAAAATTCTTAATTTGTGTACAGTGCATAGGAACCACGTTCGGAACAACCTTACACAAAATGAAACCATGTGTGTATGAGGAAGTTGCCCAGTGTGGCGGAGCGTAGCGGGAAACAAAACAAAGCACCATAACCTACGAGAAGGAATGCTTTATATCGCGGATTAAGTTCTTTTCTGGAAGTGCTATGTGAATGCATAGGTGTATATAAAGGCTGCACATTGATTGAAACCTTGTCAAATACTGCTTTCTGGGTGTATCGCGTAGTTTTCTTTTGTTGCTTTCTGCTTTGTTTTGGTTCCCCGCTACGCTCCGCCACACTGGGCAACTTCCTCATAGACGACACAATCGTGCGTACACATTTTTTTTTTTTTTTTTTGCGAATTTAACACCCCTCTTCTGCAACGTGCCCGGCGTATGTTAAAACTGCGAGATGCGTACACTTGTAAATTTACACTACACTTTGTAATAACTTTTACATTCAATTTTGTAGTTAACATAATGTTCAACATATTCAGTATTTCCAGTCTCTATCAATAGACCATTCCACCGAATGGGGAAGAAGAAAGAAAAGAATTAAAAACTACCGGAAACAGTACCGAAAACCAGTATGTAGATCATTTGTGTTCACCTCTATGGCACACCAACAAGTCCAGAATAATTATCTTGGCCAAGAAAACTAGAAAAAGTGAACGATTTGATCTGTTTATCAATACTGTTTCC